GCCAAATCGCTCGCTCACAACTTTAATGCCAGTCGCTCACAAAGACTCCACAGCTTAGAGGGAGCTTTGCCTATGCTGCAAGGCTCCGTTTTTCCCCCTGAGGTTGTTCAGTGTTACGTGAACAAGGCTAGAGGTGGTTGGGGGATGGGACCTCTGCTGAGCCGGTGCCTGAATCTGGTGCTCGAGCAGCCGAAGGAGAAACTGGAACTGCAACCAGATGAGACAGAGGAGACGCTGGTTGCTAAGGTGGGTTGAACGGTGCAGTTCCCCCCAGAATTGATGGAGTGTAAACAGCCTTTTCCCCTGACCTGGCAGGACCAAGCTAGGCTGATCTCATCAGATCTCAGAAGCTAAGCAGGGAGGCCACGAGGGATTCCAGAGTTGCTCCGCAGAGGCAGGCAGGTGCAAACCACCTCTGTTCATCTCTGCCCTGAACTGGAGGGTCCAGGCAAACCCAATCCCATCAGATCTTGGAAAAGAAGTAAGGTCAAGCCTCTGTCCGTCTCTGGCCTGATCCGGATGGCCCAGTCTTGTCCGATCCCATCAGCGCTTGGAAGCTAAGCAGGGTTGGCCCTCGTTAGTACTGGGACGGGAGGCCAACAAGGAAGTCCCGGGTTGCTACGCAGAGGCGGGCAAGGGCAGACCACTTCTGTTCCTCTCTCCCCTGAATTGGATTGTCCAGGTGAACCTAATCTTGGACACTAAATAAAGTCAAGTCTTGGTTAGTGCTTGGATGGGAGACCACCAAGGGAGTCCAGGGTTGCTACACAGAGGCAACCCACCGCAAAGCACCTCTGTCACGTGTCTCTGGCCCTGAAAACCCTGCAAGGCCACCGTAGGCTGGCTGTGAGTGACCTGACGGCACTCCTCCCACCGCGCGTCTGTCTGTGCTCACTCACTGCCTGTGGACTCTTCGTTCGGAGGGGAGGCGTTGCTCATGATGTCTCTGCATTTCTGCCCTTTCTCTTCCAGGTCACCCAGTACCTCCTGGATCAGTCCTTTGTGATGGACGAGGAGGCGCTTTACGAGGCATCTCTCCAGATAGAGCCCAAACTGCCCACCTGAGCCCGGTGCAGCGGCCTGTAGACCTTCCCGCGCACACAGCTTAGATCACCGTTGTACATAGCCACTCTTTGTTTCTTTCGAACACTCCTCGACTGACCTCCTACTATGTGCTTCTCCGAGCTGGAAAGGGGAAAGGGAAAAGTACAAGAAAAAAAAGCCCTCCGGGGCCCCGCTCCCTTTTTGCTCTTGGAACTCGACTAGCGATCCTTGCGTTTCCCTGAGGAGTCCGGCGTAGGCCACTTTGTTGATTGCCGTCCTGGTTTATATTAAGCAATGTTCTCTTTGTCATTGATTCTTCGTGGGGGGGGTGGTAGCGGGAGGGATCAAGGGAGGGTGGCAGAGGAAAACCCCCACTCGTGCACACGGCACATTGCGCGTCATGCTCCTCCTCTGATGGAGGAATTGTGGCTTTTCTTGGGCTTTGCAACCTGGACGTTTTGCTAAAAGTACAACGAACACACCTATTCCCGAGTTGAGAAATCTTGAACTGCCGCTGCGTGAGTCCGACACCATCGCCCATTTAAAAACGAGACGACGACACAGCAAATTTGAGAGGGAACGGCAATGCTGCTTGCTCAGCAGGGAGCCCAGGAAGGCCGGCTTCAGGGAGGCTGGAGGGGACCCTCTCCGTATGACTGGCTGCTGCCACCGGAAGGACGGGTAGCCCATGGCGGGCTTGAAGAAGGCCTTCGGGCTCCGGGCTGTGTTGTGGGCTGCCATCCCTCCCTTGAGGTGACCCCAGGAAGGGAGATTGGGGGTCCAGATTGAACGGGGAGAAGCCAGACGCCCGACCTGTGACAGGTACCTGGAAATCTGCCTGCCGTCAGTGTGTGTGGGAGGGGCAGGGGGGCCGGCATTTGGGCACCTTCCTCAGGCACTGCAATGCCTGGAGCAGGCCCTGAGGGGAGGGGGGACCCGTCTCTTTGGATATTTCCACTGCATCATGTCCCTGGGCAGCTTCCGTCAACATGCTCTGTCTGTAACCTCGTGACACTTCTTAGTAATATAATGTAGAGTTAGAGGGGGGAGGGGGATTGAAATGTTTTTATTACATATACTGTAATCCTGGCTAACCCCTCGTTAGCAGGAATATAGTAATGTAGTGCTTATTCTGTGAATATTATGATGTATTTTTTACACTGTACAGTATATAGGCCCAGCAGGAGAACTCTGAAGAGGCAGGCATGCGCCACAGGTAACTCAGACCAGAAACCTTTTGCTGTAAGCAATACCCAGTGGTATGAGAATTCTATTTCAGGACCTAAACTATTTCAACTTACAGCTTGTTTGCGAAAAGAAAAATTTCCATTTTTGTAAAAATATATGTTTCCTGATTACCTCTTGCTAATAAATCTATTTTATCTCAGGGTGAACGCTGGCTTTTGCAACCGTGTAACCCTAACCCTGTTTCTAGAGCGAAGGGGACATTTTTCACGTGTGGTGTTAGAAAGTCCTGGTAGACGTTCCAAAGTACGAAAGGTTTCTTAATAGTGAAGTCTGTGTTAGATATGCCTGAGGCGTGGTGGCCCTAAGACCACAAAGTACCTCTCTCTACCACTAGTCCCAATCAATGTTCCCTCTGAGCTGTGGAGTTCTGTGAGCAAAAATTCCACTTTATGAGCTGCTGGCATGAAAGTTGTGAGCGAGCGATTTGGCTGCTGCATAAATCAGTTTGCTCTGGAGCCCTCCTGAGCTAAGACGAAAGTGTGTGAGCTGGAGGCTAAAAAACTGTAAGCTAGCTCACACTCACTCAGCTTAGAGGGAACACTGACCTCCCAATATTCAGCTCTGGCTGCCTTTCAGCTCCCCCCCCCCCAGCCCCAGGCAACTGGAACCAAAACATCTCACATATTTCCCCTTATATCACCACAACAAAAAACGCTATCAGCTTTTTAAAAAAGATGACGAAAGCTGCATATTCAGGTGGGGCGGGGCAGGCCTATTTCTGAGGGGGCATTGCCCCCATCCCCCCCATACAGCTCCAAGTGTATATTGCTCTGCTTGTGTCAAGTAGCAATGGGCAGACAGATTCTTCTTTCTTAAAACAGTGAGAAAAGGAGCTGAGAAAATATGGGTTGGGGGAGCAAGGTGCTGGAAGCATTTCATGCCATGTCCAAAGGATCTTTATTATATTTATAGACTGAGGTGGGTAGCTGTGTTGGTCTGAAGCATTATAAAATTTGAATCTAGTGGCACCTTTAAGAGCAACAAAATTTTATTCTGAGTATAAGCTCTTGTGTGCACGCATTTTGTGCACTGATGGGGAAATGAGGGGTGCAGGAACCTTTTCATGCACCCTCATTCCCACCATGTTCAACTTGGGGAGGGAGAGAAGCTGCCTTCCCAACTGCGTCGAGAATGAGAGAGACAGTTGTTCTAAACCAAAACTCAATTTATTCTATGACACACTCTTGAATCAGAAAACATTTTTGTAGCATTTCAGTATACAACACAGAATATTTCAACACAACCCCAATACATAAACAGTGCACTTGTATTTCCACAAAGGATATCCTTGGTTGTTCTGCCAAGACCTGTAACTGCTGGGTGATTGATCAGAACAACCAGGAACAAGACTAAAATCAGACATTAAGTACTCTTTTTTACCCACTGAAGCTAACGTAACTGTCAATCAAGTCTGTGACGAGCATTTGACATACATGATCTGACGTATACAACAAAGTCAGCCCCTTTCTTTCTATCTCTGGGGTCGGGAAAGTCAAGGAAAGCTGGGTTAAGCCAGGGTGACTCACAGAATCAAGGAAGCTAGTTTCTGATACTCTTTATCATAGGTGCACCAGAGCTGCGGTGGCTCAAGTGGTTAAGACGCTGAACTGCAGGCTGTGGAAGGTCGGTAGTTCAGCAGTTCGAGACCCGGGTGCCGCAAGACGGGGTGAGCTCCTGTCTCTGGCCCCGGCTCCTGCCAGCCTAGCAGTTCAAAAGCATGAAATTGCAAGTAGATAAATAGGTACCACTTCAGTAGGAAGGTAACAGCGTTCCATGCGCCTTGGTGTTTAGTCATGCCGGCCACGTGACCACGGAAACGTCTTCGGACAGCGCTGGCTCTTCGGCTTTGAAACGGAGATGAGCACCGCAACCCGAGAGTCGGATTTGACAGGCTTTCGAGCAAGGGAACCCTTTACCTTTTACCAGAGTTTTAGCAGAGGACTGAGACTCAGTTCAGCCCTAATTCTGCAACATGCCTACGAAAGCTTATATCCAGAATAAAACTGTGTTGGTCTTGAAGGTGCCCCTGGACGGAGACTGTGTCCTATTATATTTATACTCCACCTCCACTGAGACTCAAAGAGGCTAAGCTGAGACTGGGAGGGCAAGGCAGCTGTCCTCAGTGCTCCAGGTAAGTGAAGAAATTCTCAGCAGCAGAGACTTCAGTCTCCTCTGACCTCAGGGAGAGAAGTGCTCTCTAAGCCACCGGCCTGGCTTTATTTACCCCACCAATGTTCACTGTGAAAAAACTGATTCAAGTCCAGTTACAGACCACAAATTTGCTTCTTTTTGTTTCTTTATTCTACGTCAGGCATGTCCAACTTCGAACAGGGAGTGGTCTATTTTTTCCGGCCAAAAGTGCCGGTGATCTACCACCATGAAAATAAAGTTTTCGATTAGTTTCAAATTAGATTTTAACCCACTAAAGTCAGGTTCCACCGCCCCCCCACCTCCATTTATAATACACCTGTCATTGACTGGTAAGCAAAATAAGCAAATACAAAACAGAGAGATGAAGATCCAGAAAGAACTGCAAACATTTTTTACCACCAAACAATAATCAAAAACCCCCAAACACCTGTCCAGCAAACCAGGAGACCAAGTGGGGCTGGTGATCTACCTCTGATCCCTCCGCGATCTACTGACGGATCGCGATCTACCTGTTGGACATACATGTTCTACGTCATGCAGTGCTGCTGCTTCCAACAATGGCCACGCGGCTACAGATTTCCCAGGTAAACAATCTGTTTCCCTCAATGCTTCATCAGGTCGCTTTATATTTGGAGCCCCTGCTCTTCTACGTCTCCTATCTTGTATTCTCTCGACATCTGCTGACTCTCTGTAGTCGCGTGACAACTGTTGAAAGCAGCAGGAGCGGCATAGCATGACATAAAATAAAGGAACAAAAAGAAGAAGAAGCCAATTTGTGGACTGTAATTGGACTTGAATCCATTTTTCCACAGTGAACATTGGTGGGGTGCAACCTTGGGCAAGCCACTGTGGTCCATCCGTGGCTGGCTCGATTTCCCCAGCTTGGCCTTGGGCTGTAACCAGAAGAAGGATGCCCCCAGGAGGTCTTGTTGGCCCAGGAGAGTTTCTGACTGGGCAGCCAGGGCTGGGTGACCCAAAGGCAGAGCCCACCCAGCAGAGGATGGCATTTATTATTTCTCACTTTACTCAGAACATGTCTATGCTACTTTCCCACTCGATGTGGGCAGTGCACAATCCGAAACTGAAACCAGCTTTTTAAAAAAACCCATCGATGTAAACCAATAAAAGCAAGGCTGAAGGTGGGTGGGCAGAGGCAGCCCCCCCCCCCCCCCCCCGGGGTCCCCGCGCAAGCCAGGAGAGTTTGCAGGGAGCTCTTATCTCGCCCTCTTCTTACTTCTATCTTTCTACCACCTGCAACTTTCTGTAACTTCGATCCCTGCTGA